TGATTAACATATTCCCCACATTTTCTGATCGAAGAATCTGGATTTTGGTTGAAAATTAGGTGTAAACCATGCTATGGACCGACTAAAAGATCACAAACCATCGTGTGTTTGACATAGTAGAGATAGGGGAAGGCCCCCACACATCTAAATGAATTATAACAAAGGGAACATGACTTTTATTGGTGTTTGAAGGATATGGAACTGGATGGCTTTTAGCCAAAAATGCATGTATTACATCTTAGACTGAAATCTGATACATTCAATAATAACTCGGGAAACAAGTGTTTCATGTAACCAAAATATGGATGTCCTAACCGTCTATGCCAAAGCCACATTTCACGTTCCTTGTTTCCATTTGGATGATGAACTAGATGTGACTGCCCTATATTGAAGTCATCCACATAATACAAACCCCTTCTTTTAGTACCACACCCAATTATCTCCTTGGTGAGAATATCCGGAAATAAGAAAAAGTAAGGGTAAATTAGTACCACGCGCTTCAGTTTTGTACCATCTAGCCCAATAGTTAACAATTTATGTGAATGAGAAAGGACATGAAGTGTATTAAATAATGATAGTGTAGAGATAGCAAGCATGTTCTAGCTCCTTTAACTGTGGATACACCTCCATTAGCATTAAAAATGCTTGTCCTTCGTGGTATGGAATTCTTCGAGAAATCAGTAGAATCAAAGGTCATGTGGTCCGTGCCTCTAGAATCAAGGATCCACGCATTTTTTGAGCATCCTCAGATGAATTACAAAGTGCAATACATGAATCGTCACCTGTCGAATGTTTATTTTGAATCTTTGCATCTGGAATGAGAGAAAAGTGTGGCATTCCTTCAGCAATTGTTCCCATGCCAATAAACGCACTACCATTAACCTGATTTCCTTCATGTTTGTTCTTTTCTTGGAAGTCATTCCAACAGTCTGGATACCCGTGAAGCTAAAAGTAAATTGCATGAGTATGTTTTTGATTGCCACAGTGAGTACATTTGGTATCAGTAATGGTTCTACCCTTAGATACACCATATTTCTCATTACATGATGAGGCGGATTTTAACGGCTATCCAAGCTTAAGTCCTTTTGATGCCAAGACTTCCCCAAAAATGTTCTCAGCTTCATCAATATTCATAACTATCTGGCGAACTGTTTCACGGTCGACATTAGCATCGACTTGTTCAACTGTGGGGAATGGTTATAGTTGTAGTATGTCACTTCGAATATCATCAAGTTGATCATCAAGTCCATCTAGAAAAGCATACACCTTTTCACCTTGAATCAACATTTCATATTTTTGTATATCATTATACCATTCCATGGGATTACTGCGATAGACATCTATTTCGCGCCAAATACCTTGTAGATCGTCGTAGTATCCTTCCAACGAGCCACGGGGTTGCTTTAGGCGGGTCACCCGTCGTCGAAGTCCATAAAATTGGGGGTGTCACTACTATCAAAATAGTAGTACCAACAACATCCAATACAGATTTTTCTTTTTGAAACCGTATAAATTTGCTGATCAGTGATGGATTCATCGAGTTGATCAACCATCCTTTTACAATGGCATTGTCTGTGCACCATTTACCGAAGGATGGGTCTGTCTGTAATGGTTGTGGGAAGTTACCATTAATATATCCCATTTTGACTTTTCCTTTGAGATACATCTCAACAACTTGAGACCAAATAGCATAATTGTTATCATCTAGTTTTATACCAATCGGGGCAGCGGAAGGTTCAACTCTAAGGGATGGTTGTATGTCATCTGAGCAGAATTTGTGGTATTCAAGCTTTCAAAAGAAGAAAGAGAAGAACCATCTCCCATGGTGCTTGATTTGTACGAAGAGGAAGAATGATATGGTAAAAAGAGTTAATTTTCAAAAGGTATAATAGAGTATTTGGGGACTAATCTACTCCGATAATCAAAGAATTTAAATAAAAGAACTGATTCCTAAAATACTCTAATGATAGCCCGCACCAACACAAATGGGTTCTTTCTTGTTGTTGGGTAATTGAATTAACCAATTAGTATATTTTGTCATTTTTTTATTCTATATATATATTTACATATGATTAGATAAAAATTTATTACATTAATAATATATTTAGACTAATCTAAGTGTTTTAAAAGTTATGATAATTTGCATACTTTTGACAATTTTTGAGGTGTTTAGCCATAACACTATAAATCTCGCGAGATATTTAAGTTCTTATATATGTTACGGACTATCAATAATCAAGACTTAGAATTTTGCATCTTTACGCATGCACATTAAAGTCCTTACAATTTGGTAATATTTTAGGAGTTTGTTAACCTTTTTGTTTACAATTAATTCAGTTATTTTATATTTTTTTTTTGGGGGAAGGGGGGGGGGGGTGGTGGGGTGGTGGAAATGACTTACAGTGTTTTGGTTAAGTTATGAACCATTGAAACCCTTCAGTAAATGGTGTGACCATTAGTAATCTACCCTAATAAATAAAAACTCTTTTGCCACATGTCACTTTCTCCTTGATTTTGACACATGTAATTTTCATAGCATTTTAAAATAATTTTATTTCCACATGTCATTTTATTATTTTTCTTATTTTCTTTTTATTCCCACATCATTAATGTAATTAAGATACACAATTATAATAATTAATAATCTAATTGATAATGTTAGCTCAAATTTGGTCATTCCTTTTGTATATCCCTAAATTGATCTCTATTTACATAAATAAATAATATTGTGTGATTATTAATATTGATATGATTAGCTAAAATCAAGGAATTATTATTTGACTAATTTCCTAAATAATTACTAACATTTGGACATGATATTGTTTTCTATAACAAACTCATTGCATATTTTAATTCTTGAATGCACCGGAAATGAAGCTTATTTCCTTTCACATTGAGAAGTCAACATGTAGAAAGTGTTACATGCAAGATAAAATATAGTAGATGTAAAATTTCTTCTTTATCAATTTACAAGATGTGGACATAGGATAATATGAACGATTAATTAAAAACCTAGCATGGTATGATATCGTAACAAGCTTATTGTGGTTTGGATTTGATATTATAACAAGCTTATTGCGGCTAGGATTTGATAAAAAAAATCATTTTTAGTATATTTGGATACTAACACTACTAGAAAAACAGCCTTTTACGACGCTCATTGCGCGTCGTAAAAGGCTCAGACGACGCGCAAATGCGCGTCAAGGAAGGCCCTGTCTTAAAGAGAGACGACGCTCATTAAAGACGCGCAATTATGACGCGCGTTTACGACACGCAATGCGTATCAAGGAAGGCCCTGTCATAAAGGAAGACGACACGCATTCACGTGTCGTAACCTTACGACGCGCGTGTTAATGACACGCAATGCGTATCAAGAAAGCCCCTGTCAAGAAAGGCCATGTCATAAATGAAGATGACACACATTTTTGCGTATCGTAAATTTAAATATTTAAAAAAATATATATTTATATATTTATTAATTTTTAAATTAAATTTGCATTTAATGTGTCATAATAGAAATAAAATACCATATACAAAAAAAAATACAATCCATTGCATAAACTTTAATGTCATACAATTCTATTTCTTACAATATATAAATTTGCGTTCATCTAATCCATTCTATGTTTCATACTAACAATTGAAATGAACAATACAACACTTGCATTTTCAGCATCTTATCTCTTTCGGCTTGAGCTTTCTTTTCCACTTCTAACTCGACAGCTGTTCGCTTTCATCAACCCTGTAAACACAACACAAAATCACTTGTCATTTTCGTTCTACTTTTATGTTTACTAGTCAATCCTTCAACTTTCTTTACTAATTAGATTCACCTGGCACCAATATTGCTGATGTTTACTAGTCAATCCTTCAATCTATCATATGAAGTATGAAAAATATGAACAATAGGAAATGGAAGTTCAAAATCCTAACCAAAAATCCCAGATATATAACATTATGCCCTCCTGGTGCTTGTCCTCCTGACAACACAACTCCTATCTTTAAGGCAGATCTTGATTCATTAGATTCACCTGGCACCAAATCAGAAAAGAAAACCAACCAAACCATTACATTGTTGTGATTTTCATTTATCCCTACAATTTAACTTTAATAGCATTAAAAAAAAATATGTTCAAACAGATCCACCATTGGGGAGAGAAGGAAATGGTGAATGTGTTTCTTGGGATGAATGATACAAGAGAGAGCCTAAATTTATACTAGAGCCTACCTCACTAAACAAGGAAAATACATAACAAGAAAAGATAAGCATTAACTTTACAGCTAATTTACAGCCAACATACAATAAGAGTTTAATGAAAAAACTAAATTCCACAGTTGAGAATCACGTAACTGAGACAAGCGGTGGACGCGTGTTCCAAGCTGATCCAAAAGGGCAGATGGGTAATTTCACCAACAAAAAGGGCATTACTGATGAAAAGTGTGCTAACCTTATTTTAGAAGACAGATCGTTAGATGAATCTGCTTGATGCTCTTGGCCACGACCACTAAAGATATCTTTTGGGTAAGATTCACGCCATCTTTTCCAAATACCAATCACACTAAACTTTGACATAAATTCAACCTAAAACAACATAAAAAATATATATAAACTTACAATTGGTGATGATAAAGAATTTTACTTAATTCCAAATAACATAAAAGTAATTGCTTACCATGGACCCCGCATAAAGAGGAGCAAATAGTGCATTGAGGAGGCCATGAACATGTACAGATTAAATTAAGAATCAACAAGAAATGTGAAACATTTTTAGAAAAAAAAAGGAATTGAAAGTAATTATTTTAATGTTTATTTAAGGATATGGTGTAATGGAAGACAATGTAGAAAACGATCACTGGATGTGTATTCCCAAGCTATTGATAATGTTTTCACCTCAAATTATGCAGGAAAACAGCAATTAGAAGATCACAGATACGTTTTTTCTTAAAAAATATACGAATATTTCACAAGTTTGGTTTTTAAAGTATTTTCTTCCAAAACTTTAAATTACCTGTGCTAAAATGCTACTGTGTGTATGAACAACTCCTTTAGGTTTCCCAGTTGTTCCACTAGTATACAAAATCAATGTTGGATCATCGTCTGTATGAATAAGACAATTTTATATTATTATTGTATATGAAATTATATATATATATATATATATATATATATATATATTAAAGAACATGGATATATACCTTTTATGTTATTTGCAAATACATTCTCTTTTTGATGTACAACACCATTATCTACTGCTTGTGAAGTCATAGTAGGAACATTTGGTATTAGAGAAAATTGAGCTGTAGTTTTAGCTGCAACTTTTTGCATAAGCTCCCTGTGATCATCAGTACTCAAAATCATGGACACATCCTTCAAAACTCAAATTAACAATGTTGTATTATTAGGAGAATAAAATTGTATCTTACAAAGGCCACATAAACACATTAAAAAAAGGGTATGTTAATTGAATAAGGAGAAAAGAGTCATTTTATTGAATTTCATTTCTTCCTATTAAAGAAATTTTAGCAATATCATCCAAATACAAAGCAATTTCTTCCAAATAAAAAACATAGGAAACTAGAAAAGTTTAAGGTTGTTTTGAGAGCAAACCGAGTCAGTCATGACATGTAACAACTCAGCTTCAGGGTAACTGAGTGCAAGTGGAACAGCTACACCTGCATTTAACCATATTGCAAGTACTCCAGCAACAAACTCAGCACAAGGTTTAGCCACAACACCTATTCTAGTTATAAGAATGAAGAAATAATAGTGTTTGGGATCTATGGTGTTGATATTGCAAAGAAAACAAAGGCCCATTTGATTCACATAATCTATTTGGAAGGAATGGAATATGTCAAAGCAATTGGAATCTGAAAGAATTGCAATCTGTTAATTGTTTGGTTGGCAGAAAATGGGAAGGAAATCAATCACAATCCTTAGTTTAGCAACCAAAAAAACAAAATGGAATTCAAGATTCCAATTCCTTCAGATTCCCACAGAATCCACGAACCAAAACTTATGTTCAATATTCATAATCTATGTTTCCACTAGAAGAAACTACAAAAATGGAATTCAAGATTCCAATTCCTTCAGATTCCCTTTATTTTTCTTTTTCTCTTTATTTATCTTTAACCTCTCTATCACGACCCTTTTCCCTGTCCCTTTCACTCCCAGGTCTTTCTGATCTTGCTTCCACTTCGATGTCGCCTTTTCATCATATTGTTGATGATTTATAACCTGCAAACCACGACAATACATAAGTAGCTCCATTCATCATGGTAAATTTAGAGTTTAGAGGATGATTCCCAAATTAGTTAGGGTTTATCAGTGAAAAAGGAAATATCTTCAAATATTATATGTAAAGAGGAAGAAATAGAAACCTCAGGAGCCATCCATCTGTAAGTTCCAGTCTCTGCTGTCATACTCCCCCTTGACTCAAAACCGGGCAACCCCAAAATCCGCCACCTTTACAACCTAAAATTAAAATGTTAAATTAAATTTAAAAAAACAGAGAAACAGTTAAGAAGCTAATAAGTCAAAGTGTAATTAATGCCTTTATAGTTTTTACATTGAGTGTCGATGAGCAAATTTGCAGTCTTGAGAGCCCTATGAATTATGTTGGTTTCTCATTTGAGGCGTCCAACTCCTGAGAAGGCCTCTGCCTCTGATCAAGAAAAAGTGGAGGAGGGTCAGCAGACAAAAAATGAGTCCCAAGAATTAGCTGGGATGGTGCTTGAAACTGAAATTGCTGGTGAAAGAAACAGTGGTATCGTAAATCAAAACCACTGTAATCGGTGGATTTATTTACAAGAATTAGAAATTATTGACTTACCTCAAGTTGACCTTGTAGCGACATAACGTAATTGATGATTTTATCGACCATAAGTGCTTTTCCAGTGACCTAAGAACATGATTTCACATTTTGATTTCACCGACCATGAGTACTTTTCGAGTGACCTAAGAACACGATTCCGAATTGGCGATGGAGACGAACCAGAAACCTTTAGAGGTGGCGACCTGGCGGTGGTGAATTCTCTTTCTACAACACCGGCGGCTCTGATTTTGATAACACTGACGGTGAAGGATTCTCTTTCTATGACACCGGTGGCTCTCAATTTGATTGAGGTAGAAGACGAAGCAGTAAGCGGTGGAATGTATTTAGGACTTATGAATGGGCGTTGGGAAGAAGTAGACGATAACGGAGTCGGGGTTGCGTTTCTGGAGGCTTCGTATAGGGCGGTGGTGGTGAAAGGGTTTTGGCTCTGAACAGTAAAGAACAAAGACGGTGAGGTTAGTGTAGTAATTTGGAAGATAGATGGTAATGGGGAAGAACGGTCGTCTTTCATTGGAAGTCAACGGCGGTGGGAGACACTCAGAAGGGGTGAAGAAGCAGCAGATATTGGAAGGCGAATAGAGGTTTGAGAATCAAGAGAGAAGAAAGAAAGAAATGGGGTTTACGGCGGGGAAGAGCTAAAGTTTTCAGCCAGTGGAAACAAAGCGGGCTTTTTAATTTTTGGATTTCATTTTCCCCTCGGATGAAACGCGTGTTTCATTAAAATTTATAAAGCGACATGGTTAGACGAGACACATTTTATTTAAGATGCCCTCCGTGTTTTTTTTATTTTTTATTAGACACTAATTTAAGGGCGCGCAAAAATCCGTGCCCTCTATGCTTCATATTTTGGAAAACTGACATCAATTTTTAGGGCACGCTCAAATGCGTGTTCTCTATCAGCGTGTGTCATTGATTGCGCATCGTAAAAGGCTGTTTTTCTAGTAGTGTAAAGATGATTTGATCAAAATCAAACATCAGAAACAATTTATACTATATTTTCATATGTCGTTTATGGTAACCATATTACAAATTTTTTGCAAAAAAAATACTTATAATTGAGAAAAAACTTCAGTATCATGTGAAGTCTTATAAACAAAACACATCACATATTTCAACTTCTTTGTCTTTTAAATCATTTAACATCTTAGATTTTTTTTTTATTCCAAATCTTACGAAACAATTCTAGAGTGCAAGTGTCACCGAAGGAATATATCATTGAAATTCATAATCATGAATATTTAGTTACAATAAATCTTTTGAATAAGTCATTTTTATAATAATATTAGAATTTTAACCAATTTCATAAAAAGTATCATTTTAACTCTAAAGAAGAGCTTTTGTTAAGTAATATATATGCTAATGTTTCGATATAATTATAAAAAATGTTGTGCGACCTCATCCCCGTTTTAGCATCTCTTTGCCGTGTTTGTCTAAGCCACACGTTTATTCCACGAATGTCTTTGATGTCATTGAATGAAAGTTTTCGCATTTCAACGAAGAATTTTCACTTAATGCATGTTTTGCGATGACAATAAATAACAATCAAATCAAGGACAATTGCTATCGAATGTGGGGTTGTTTTTTCGACAAGTGTCCACTCGTGGATAATTGTATGGATTAAAAAACATTAATTTTAGACAAGGATAATCAACTTAGCAATACGATATATAATATTGTATTCAAAGAAGTCTTTGTAAATTTGTGATTGATAACATTAATTTACAATATGTCAATACTTTTTTATATTATGGTAGATTCAAGTAATTACTTATTTATCACTTCACTTTTATTTATTTCGAAAGTCTACTTTAAAAAATATGTATATATTTATGTATAAATATTATTTTAAAAATATTAATGCTTACAACTTTACATTAAACTTTTTTTTAATAAATCCGTGTAATACACGGGTTTCACACCTATTTTTGGAAATATATAAAGGTATTTTACCCTTATTGTTGGTTAATCGCTTTTGGTCATCTTCAAGTTCATCACAAACGTGCATTATTTCGAGTTGATTAAGGGGGTTGTAGGATCGATGTCTACATCATCTATATTACAGGAGCTCCCGAGAGGATCTTAAGGATGGTTTGGTGGCCTCTTAACCATTCAGTTAAGTGGCGGTGAATCATTCAGAGTGTTTGGTATGAAAAAAGTGCATCTGATATTCTGATATGGTGTGCTGGAGGGTTGAAACCTCTGAACGATCATGCAAGTAGTGTTTAAACCGTTCATACTTTAAGATATTCCATCCACAACCCTCTCCCGCTTTCCAACATTCGTCTACTTCCTTGTTCCTGCACCAAATGATTCCACTTCGAATCTACATTACCTTCGTGATATCTGCCTCCATTAGCTCCACTCCTCGAACATCATCAACATCAATAATAATTCATCTCCGTTGACTTACTGTTATTGTGTAAATTTTGTTTAGTTATTGTTTTATTCTACTAAGTTACATCCACAAATTTATGATTTCCACTAGTTCTTTAAGTTCCCTGTTCATCCACATGGGAAGATGGGAAATGATAAGGTAATTCATCCAGCCCACTTTCCTATCTTTTTAAAAGACCATGAATTATTGAGCTAAACACCGTAACCTCCGATGTAGATTTTAGCTATTTATGAATAATTGAAATTTGTTGTTTATTCTCGATTTAGATTCGTATCATAGTTGGGTTTGAACTAAATGAACATTGAATCCAGTCGAAACCCCAAAATGGAGAAGTGCCCACTTGTTGGTCGATGAAAGTCCTAAAAGAAATTAACTTCACAATGCATATGCCACATTTTATTTTACATTTCAAAAACATATCGTGTGCGGATCGACAAACCTAAGACAATCTTTACAACAGTCACCACGTATTCACCATCCCTTCAATGTCTCTCCAAGATAAGCACCTATTTAGATCACCAACACTGTTCCAAAAGGACCAGAAAACCTACTCACAAACCTGTCTCTTTACTTTTAAATCCCAACAGTATAATAAAAAATATAAGATCCTCTCTCAAAATCTCTACTCTTATAAATGTACTCCTTCTATATGAGCACAACTAATTTTAGAAGGGTTCTGGTCCTTCTGAACACTGATAATCATATATAGTTTTTGTTGCATCTTCATGCGGATTTTGTGTGGTTGGAAGCTATCAGTCGTATGTTGTGTATTTTAGTTCACATGTCAGTACTCAGTTCTTGGCACCATTAGTCACATAGACAACGAACCTTGTCTTCAAATGTATCTAGCAAGGTTACACCTTGAACATAGAAAGACATATATCCCTCAAATACAAATAAGAAGCGGAGACCAAATCTTTGATGTCTTACATTGTAGATGAGAGTTAATATGATTGGTTAATGGATTTATTGTATCACTTTACCAGTGAGGGAAGAACCATTGATCTTAAAATTTAGTTGCAGGCCTTAGTAAATTATCTTTAGAGCTTAGTAGTTGAAGGCAACAATTTTCGGCCTTGGAGAAAGTACGATGAGAAATAACATTTTATTCATTATCATTTGTTTTCTTATTTTCAATTCTGGTTTCAGGTTTCAAATACAATAGCTTTTAATGAAGAATCACTTGTATGTCTCACCTACTTTCCATGGATATAATTATGGGGCACCTCATTAAGGACATTTGGAGAATTGTCTTTTTCTTTTTTTAGTCAATTAAAGGCCGTTATGTGTATGTTTTATAGGTATAAGATGAAGAGTTAGAGGAAGAGTGTGTGGATATACTATTGAGAAATTAATTCAGAAGCATGATGCAAAGAAGAGTTGCACATGTCCTTTCTTCTACGGTGGAATAAATCGAACTATTGTTTGTAAGTCACTTCGTCTGTTTCAATTCTATAAGAAAAGCCTGAAAACTTTGGCATAATCTATTTTCTCTGTTTAATTGTTAGCTTTGTGGTTTGAGAAAAACTAACACTTGGTATCAGAGCAAAAACCTGGTGTATGCCAAAGTACCAACCACATAATGAAATGAAAGGAAACAATGGCAATGCCGAAAAAGAAGGTTTGGTCACTCTCCATTATCTAATGTTATCAAAGAGTAACTACTTTGCATGGGACATAAAAATGAGGGTCATCATGCAAGCCTAGGGAGTATGGGACGCAGTGGAGCCTAGAACATCAAATATTCTGGTAGAATTTAACAGGATAAGATGACACTTGCAGCCATTTATCAAGGGATTCTAGGAGACCTTATACTATCCTTGCATGAGAAGAAAACAGCTAAAGAAGCCTAGGAAGCATTAAAAACAATGTTCGTGGGAGTAGATAGGGTAAAGGCTGCTAGAATTCAGACGTTGAAGGCTGAATTTGAGGCGTTTAGTATGAAGGATGCATAAGGTGTTGGTGAGTTTAGTGTGAAGGTGATTAACATAGTTAGTACTCTATGAACTCTACGAGACACTATAGAAGAGTCCTATGTGGTGAAAAAGCTACTAAGGGTTGTGCCTTCTAGGTTTCTTCAAATTACCTCTAAACTGGAGCAATTTGGGGACTTAGCAACAATGGCAGTCGAGGAGGTGATTGGAAGATTGAAGGCCCACGATGAGGGGATGAAAGGTAATGGAGAGAGTGATGAAAGAAAACTTATGTTGACTCGTAAGGGATGGTTATAGAGGAATATGAATAAAAAAGAGGGAGACATCAAGCAAAATTCAAATAAAGGTGGTTTTGGAAGCTCACGTGGTCGAGGCGGAGGCAGGGGAGAAATGGGGGTCATGGTGGTCGTGGAAAAGGGGGTTCATACCACAAAAAGAAGGGAATCTTCAAGCATCTGTTAGTCAAGAAAACACTGGAATCTAATGCTAGAATTTCCAAGAGTTCGGACATTATGCAGCCGAATGCAAGAATCCAAGAAGAGAAAGCAATCAAGAAAATAATCTAATACAAGACCATCATGACAATGATCCTGCTTTGCTTTTCTCAACTTTCGAACATGGTGAGAATGTGTTTTTAAATGAAGAAAATATGACCCCACCGCTAGGATTAGAAAGTAACTCCTTCAACCAATCTTTTATGTGGTACTTTGATACAAGGGCTAGTAACCATATGACTGGAGACAAGTGCAAGTTTAGGAGTTTGAATGAGTCAATCCAAGGATATGTCAAGTTTGGAAATGAGTCAAAAGTTCGAATCAAAGGAAAGGGGTTAGTTGTATTTCAGTGGAAGGATGGAAGTCAATGCAAACTTGATGAAGTATATTACATCCCCGACTTATGTATTAATATAATAAGTCTGCGGAACTTAGCAGAGGGTGGAGATGAAATAAGAATCAAGGATCCATTTATGTGGGTCCATGATGTCATAGGGAGACTGTTGATGAAAGTTAGAAGGTCCTTAGATCGATATGGTTGTGGCATATGAGAATGGGTCACATTAACTTCAACTCAATGAAGTATATGCTGGAGAAGAAGTTAATAGAAGGGATGCCAAAGATGACCATTCCATCACAACCTTGTGAAGTGTGCTTAGTAGGAAAGTAAATATGGAAGCCATTACCC